GGCACTTGTACCGATGGACAGTTGGATTGTCCTTAGCTGCGTAGTTGTTTGACGGCAGTATTATGATACAATATGTGATAGGCTTCTTTCATTTATTTACAGGTCTTCCTGGAATAGTGGCGAGAAATACGATGTTGGCTTCCCTATCTGACTCTGTAGTTCTGCCTTTGGTGGCTAGAATTGTACAAACAACTGGTGCTGCTGTGAATGCCTCCATTTCTGAAGGTGCTGATTTTCTTATATATGGTTCTGATAGCGGAGATCATGTTAATGTAGCAGTGGATTCCTTATTCAAGAATGCGAAGATACCTGTTTTTGCGATGTATTCTTCTCACGATGAGGCTGAAAGAGTAACTAGCGCGTCACAATTTCTTAAGTTAGGTGCTGCTGGTTTGGTGGTTTCACTGGAAGATTTGAGGTTTTTTAGCGATGATGTTCTAAGCCAGGTGTTCGATGCTGCATACTCGACTTTGAGTCATAAAACACAGGATGAAGCTGAAAGGTCCAGTGAGGGGCAGACGTTCAATTTGGATATTGACATGCAGTTAGGAAAGCGGTTGGCTGGCTTTATTAAGTTGGAGGATAGAGAAAAACAGCTCATTGAAGCCGAGAGATTACTACTACTTGAGGCTTTAGATGTCATTAAGAAAGCTGCTCCACTGGTGATCTTTTAGTTAAAGCATTTGGTAGTTGAATTTATTCTTCACATTATTCTACATTTCATCCTTTTTATTGTTTACTTTATTCTGAATCCAGGAATATTGATTTAAAATGACAGATGGAGGAGATTTCACTTCTCACTGATGCAATTTCTCGGATTGATGAGCCATTTTTACTGGTCATAGCGGTAATTGTGCGCTGAACTCCAACAAATTCTGGTTCCAGGGATATACATTGGTATTAGCCCTAAATTTCAAATAAAGCTTTTGTCTTTTATTGAAAGAATCCATAACTAAAATGACTTCTTGTATGTTCACAGCTACTTTGTTTGAGAACTATGGAGTAGAAAATTTTGTTGAAATGTACTTAGAGCCATATTCTGTATGGGTTCTTCCTTAAACAATCTTATTTAACTATCTTGTTCTTTTGTGCACGGACATGACTTGCTCTTCTTACAGTTTTGGCTGTTGGAACAAATATTTTGGGGCTATGGCAGAGTGCTGTGTTGAGAAATAGACCTTTGCTGTTGTAATTTGAACAAAAAACTTCTAAATGATAGATGATGATTATATAAATAAAAGAACTGATTGGAGGAGTTTTATATGAGATTATCGGTTTTATAGTCATGGCAAGTAAATTTGTCATAGTGCTACTTGATCTTTTCTCTGATAGATTTTGTCTTTCTTGATGCTGTCAGGGTGAATTTAACTCTGGTAAATCAACAGTCATCAATGCACTTCTTGGGAAAAGATATCTCAAAGAGGGTGTTGTTCCAACAACTAATGAAATCACTTTCCTATGCTATTCTGAGTTGGAATCTGGAGAGCAGCAACGTTGTGAAAGGCATCCAGATGGTCAATATATCTGTTATATTCCTGCTCCAATTCTCAAAGATGTGAGCCATTTTAACATGATTAATTCTCTTGCTCTTGAATTTCTTTATGACCTCTGAAAAATATTAGTTTATTTTCCATGTTTGCCTGCATATTTGAAATGTTTGTTACCAGGGGTGAATAACATTAATGACAACTTTTGTCGTATGTGCTTCTATATTTGGGGATATTTTTATGCAAATACATCTCCATAGTGCTTCCGGTCCTGTGGCTGGAGAAAAGTCTTATACTGTAGGTCATATCATTTTAAACCTTCTACAGAATTAACCTGCTAGTATTCTAGGAGAAGTGATTTGTGAGTTTAGTCATGCTTAATGATTAATATCAGTCTATCGAAGTAGTTTTTACTATATTTTATCAAATTTGTCAGTTATGTGGTTCTTTTATTAGCATATGCATATCTTATGAACTTAACAAGAAGTAACTATGATTTATTTAGTGAAGACTGAGGATGCTAAAACCACAGAAGGATAGACTGACTTGCACTTGTCTGAAATTCTGGGTGCCACAAAGGCACCTTTGTAACCCATGGAACAATAAAATCTCATGGCATGGAACGTCCTGCTGGTTCATCCTCTTATGTAAATCATCTGCCTGATGCATGTGCCAAAGAAAATGAACAGAAGATAGAGGAAGTGT